GCGAAACGGGTCGGACGCCGAGCGCGCTACCCTGGCGGGGTTACTTTTTTGATTGACGGCTCCAAGGACAGATCCAGGAAGCGGGACGGGCTCGGCTGGGGCACAGGGCGAGATAATTGGCTACGACGGCGCATAGACCGACGCAACAAGTGCACGTGCAAAAGGCAAAATGCCCCCCATTAACATGCGGGCGACCCAGGAGCGGGGACGCAGGCGTCAGACTGAAACAGACGGAGGAGAAGTCGCACAGTGGCGCCAGCTCGAACCGTACTGACCAGCGCGTACTGGCGTGAGTCACGCTGCGCTGAGGCAGCACGGGGGGCCCGTGAGGCCGCACCGTCAGACGCGACGAGGAGGCGAGAGAGGAAGGACAGGCGGCGGGCGCGAGAGCACGCGCGGGCAGAAGAGGGGGAGCCGAGGAACGCCTCACTCACTTGGACTCCTGGGCGTGGTCGGACATAAGCGACCGACCTATGCACGGAGACGTCGACCCAGTCACGGAGTCCGCAACCTGCGACTGCCTGACCCAGAAGGTCGGGGGGATGCAGCAGCAGGCATGGTCGAGCACCGCGGACCACCCTGCGGGAGGGGTCCGTAGCCATTTTGGCTCAAGGCCATGGCGCACCCGACGACCGCGAGTCCGTCGGGCGTTCTGGAGCGCGAGGGGCGCTTCGCCAAGAGCCAGAAGCTTCGCCAATTTTGGTTCTCCTCGTTCCTGCAGGGCCGAGAGTTTCGGCCGAGCAGCAGTCAGTCCCACGGTGTGCCGCCATGTCGGAGGTTGCCTCGGGGCTGGCCAGGCGGGCGTACTGGCTGTGTGCTAAGCGTGGCTGCAACGCTTGGAACTGGTGTGACAAGCGTTGGACGTGCAAGGTGTGCGGCACCAGTGCTCCCCCATGGACGAAGGAGTACCGTACCGACAGGGGCCCCCCGAGAGTGGACGCTGACGGGTTCGTTCAGCAACCCAGGGGAAGGGCTGAACAGCGGGCAGCGAGGCGCTCGGCCTCCCAGCGGGCCCTCTCGGGGAGCACCGCGCCCAGCAGCACCCCCAACAGCAGGGCAAGACGGGTGCGGCCTTGGGGAGAGGCCAAGACCCAGTGCGTGGAGCTGCAGGCGCAGCTCGTGGCGGCCAAGGAGCGCGTCGTCAAGCTCCAGGAGGCCCTGGCGCTCGGGCTCTCGGCGGACTTCCAGCGTGAGGTGGAGAGCGCCCTCCAGCTGGGCAAGGACCAGGTCGCCGCCTGTGAGCTGGCCGTCCAGGAAGCCCAGCGGACGGAGCGCCCACCTCACTCGGTGCTCCACATCGAGGCCAACGCCATTCAGAAGGTCGAGCGCCAGCTGGCCGCGGCACGCACCAAGAAGGAGAAGCTCCAGCTGCAGGCGTCCGAGCTGCGCGAGCTCATCGCGGAGAAGCAGGAGCAGCTGTCGGCAGCCGAGTTGGGAGTGGAAAAGGTCGCGGGGCAGATTGCCGAGCTGGAGGAGACCAGAGCCAAGGTCACGCAGCAGGCGATCCAGCGGGCCAACGCGGCCGTCGGAGGTGCTCCGAGCCCGCTTGGGGACGCCGTCCAAGGGCTGCTCACTCAGGTCGGCGCCCTTTCGGATCTCCTCAAGCAGCACGGGTCGGAGCTGCCCCCTCGGTTCTCCGAGATCGTCGGGATCCTCAACACGCAGAAGGAGGCGGTCGCCGAGGCGCTCAGGCCCCGCAGCAGCTCGGCCAGGACGCGTTGGGGCGACAGTGTCGGGGATGATGGCATCGCGTCCGAGGATGACGACATGCCGCTTGACATCGTGGCCTCTGGGGGGCCCGCGGTTGCCCCGCCCGCGGCAGCCCCGCAGACAGGGCCTACCGCGGCTGGGCCGCCAGGCCCGCGGGCCAGGTCAGTGGGCGGGCCCTACGGCCCTGCAGCGGCCCGCGGCCAGCACGGGGCGACCTTGGGCACGTGGCCTCAGGTGGAGCCATGCCTCGCTAAGGCCCTCGCCGAGCAAGGGGCGGCCCTCACGGACAGCGACCCCTTGGTGGCTGCGGCTGCTGTGGTTGCTCCTGCTGCTGGATACGGGCCGCGCCGTGGGTGACGCGAGAACGTCGGAGTGGGCAGTTTCCTCCGCCGACCTCGACGTCTGGGACAGCGGAGCGCCCTTCCCTTGGGACGTGCGAGGTCCCAGCTGCTGGGGCAGGTGGAGGAGGCGCTGTGCTGGCCGCTGGCGCGCCCGCGGCCCTCGCAGGAGGCGGGTGGCGCCGAGCACCCTTGCCCGAAGTAACCAACTGGCGCGGTCGGGAACACCGAGGTGGCCCCCCGACGGCCAGTCAGGGGCCGTGAGCGGTGGGATTCAGCCCCACGACGTCGCAGCTCTCGGCCCCGATGGTGATGGGCAGGGGCACCCCCCGCTGGCAACCGGAGGGGTCGAGGGACGGCCACCTCCTCAGCGGCGGTCACCTCCCGTGCTGGCCAGCCGCCCGCCGACGCCGACGAGGAGCGCTGGAGCGTGGGGCCAGGTCCCCCCTCCAGTCCTGGTGGGGGCGGAGGGTCCCGCGACCAGGGGCGCGGCGTGCCCTGTGTCGGGCGCTGGCCAACGCGCAGTCCGCGTGGCAGCCGTCATCGGCAAAGCGCCGATGGTTGACAGGGCAGGAGGCCAGCAGCTTAGGACTGGCCTCGTCTTGCTCGGCTGCAACTGCCACACGTGGAGCAGGAGTATTGAGGCCATTGAGGCCTTCTTCAAGACGTGCTACTACTGGCCCGACGTGGTGGTGCTCCAGGAGACGAGGCTCCCGCATGAGCGCCTGCCCAGGATGGCGGCTCAAGGCCGCGGCCTGGGAGACGTTGCCTTCCTCCCCGAGGCAGAGCTGTCGGACAAGCAGGGGCCCCAGGCGACCTCAGACGGGGCGGCGATCCTGATGCGAGACGGCTTGCAGGCCGACGAGTCGGCGTCCTCGCTGCCCTCGGCCTTGCGGTACCGCCTCAGCCGTGTGGAGGTGACGGGCTTCTCTGCCGACATCCCGTGGGTCCTCAAAGCCGACTTCAACATGAAGGCTGAGTCCCTTGAGGAGTTGGGATGGCCGTGGCGGTACGGGGACACGCCCTGGGACCCTCGGAGGCGACGTGCCTTGGTGAGGGCTGCGTCCACCTCTACGACTGGCTCGTGGCTTCAGCCCAATGCCCATCTCTGGGAGGGGATCTACGCTTCGCTGGACGTACACACGCTCAAGGTGACCATGGTTGCAGCTCACTGCATCGCCAGAGACGTGCTGGATGGCAAGGTCATGGAAGCCTACCTCCGCGGCAACGGTCATGCCGAACGCTGGGCCAAGGCAGATGCGGAGCTGCACCGCGCCAGCGCTGTGGCCAGGCGCGGGTTCTTCGGCACGATGGAGCTGGTGAGGGAGCTCTCATGCTGGGCGGTAGCCTCCCTCATCTGGCAGGGGATGGCCTTCGCCAAGTGTGGATACGGCGCAGCCGAGCAGGAGCTGATGGCGTGCACCCACTGCGGGGCGACCGCGAGGCTTGGCGGGCGCACAGGCGCGGCGCCCAAGCTCAAGGAGCGATGCCCTGGCTCTGCGGTGGCTCGGCCTGAGCCAGAGCAGCCGAGGCGCAGCGTCGCGCCCAGGCTTGAGCTGCAGGTCGCTGGATGGGCGCGCTACTGGGCCCAGGCTCCCGAGGTCGGCGAGACGATGGAATGCTACAGCGAGTGGATGGACCACTGTGTCGGCTACGTCACGCAGATCCTGTCCCAGCCGCGCTTCGCCACCAGGCTGCGGGCGCGTGGGAGGACGGCCGAAGAGATGGCCGAGGAGATCTGCGAGCGGGCCTGGGGGACTGGCATGCCTGCGAGGCGGGCCTACTACAGGTGGCGCCACACGCTGACGCGGTCGCAGAGGATCGTGTCGGACTGCATGCGGCGCTACGACTATGTGTGCCTGCGGACGTGGCTGGCCGAGCTGCAGTGGGAAGGGCAGCCTCCGCCCTTTGGCCCGCTCAGAGCGCTCAGAGCGCCTTCGGTGCCGTGGCATGCGGGACGCAGGAGGCGACGTAGAAGCGGTGAATGGTCAGCCGCGGCTGAGACGGCGAGCGAGGACAGGCGCATGAGACGCCGCCGCGCTGCTGGTGACGAGGGGTAGTGATGCAGCATCATCTTCTCCTCCTGTTGTATCCGCCCCTCGTCATCCTTTTCCTTTCTGTGCGTGAGGCAGCACTTCTGCCCATGGTGCACTTGCAGCTTGGGGGGCTTGTTGGGCGTGCGTGCGCGCCCCTGCCCCTGCTGCCTTCTTGATTTATTTGAAATCTTGCGCTTCGCGCGTTTGGCGCTTCGCGCCCTTCCCTGCTGGGGCTCCTTTGGGGCCCCCAGGGCTGGCCCTTGAGGCCCTGGGGCCAATGGGCTCCGTGGGCCTCGGGCTTCCTGTAGCCTTCATAGGCCCCGCAGCCCACAGCCCACACCCTGCGGGAGGGCTGGAACACTGCCAAAGGATGAACCACTTGGCTCCCGCCGAGAGAAGCGGACCAAGTCATCGGCGAACAACGCGGGCAGCTTATCCATCACGATGGACGGGGGAACAAAGCGGCGAGCGTCAACCGGGGAAGCAGGGGCGGACCAGATGGGAGATCGTCGGCAGTCGAGCAAAGGGTGTACCACTTGTCGGGTCCGCACTCTCCCCAGGTCCGGTCCCAGGTGGTGCCGGGGCGGGGTGGCGCGCCGGGCTGCACCCAGCCGTGGCCCAGGACCAGGCACCGTGCGTCACACCCAGACCACGTGGGCGAACCGCGCCCGCTCAAGGGGCTGGAGTCGCATCGGCGGGGGCGGACTGCAGAAGGCCCGAGTTGTCCGAAACAACACCTGGCAGCCTCGCGGCCCGACCGCACCTCGGAGCTCTGCCAGTGAGCCTCCAGGTGGCAAGTTGTTTTTTTGTCTCCTCCCATTCCAGCTGAGTGGCACACAGAACAGTCCACCGTGCCCTCAAGGGGCCTCTCCAACCACGACCCGACAGAGTCGACGAAACTTACGGGGCTGCAGCATCACTCGCACTCGTCGAGCGTTCCATCTCGACCGGGTGCTCTCCAGCTGGCCACGGCCAGGATCGGGCCCCCAGAACCCCAGGTCCAACAGCAAGCAGCAACGACGGGAGAGAACCAGGGGCGAGCGGGGGCCGAACCAGGCCGTGGCCAAGCGAAAAGCGCGACCCCATGCATCCGCAAGCGGACACACGGAGTTGCACCTTTCCCACTGCCCGCAGCGAGGGGCGGCCCCCGAGGGGGGGAGGAGAGGCCGACGGCCCAGGAGGAGCGGGAAAGGCGAGAGGAGCGGAAAAGACGAAACGACGACGACGACGACGACGAGCGACGAGACGACAGCAGGAGGGACCTTCGGAGGCCAGGGCGAATCGCACTGGCTCTATCCAGCCAGCCTGGGCAACAAAGCCGGGGACTCTCCAGCTCGAGTATGGCGCGCCCGAGGCTCGTCCTGGCACGCACCTGCCAGCACAGGCCAGACAAGTATGGCGCACTCTGGCTTCGCAGTGGCTCTGTCCAACCAGCCTGGACAACATGACCCGGAGACACTCCGGCACGAATGTGACGCGTCCGAGGTTCGTCCTGGCACGCTCCAGCCAGCCTGGCCCTCGGGACGCAGCGACCCCGCGGAGGAGGGAGGAAGGAGGCGAGGAGGCGGAGGACGAGGACGAGGGAGGGGCGACATATCCCCCTCTCAGTGCGCCGGGCGGCCGGGAGGCCTTCTTGAGGCGCCTTGCTCCTGGCGGGGTTACGTGCGCCCTCTCAGTGCGCCCTGGCGGGGTTACGCGAAGCGTCTAGAATTACTCCTCCTGCCCCTTGCTTGCCTCAACTACATCCTCCTCTTCCTCCTCCCTCTCTCCCTCGCTCCCTTTCTCACCCACTCCCCTCCTCCTGCTCCATCCCTGCTCCTGCTCCTCCATCCCTCCTCCTGCTCCTCCTCCTCCTCCTCCCTTTTCCGCCAGCAATTTTCCTCCTCCAACCAAGCCGAGGCCAACGCCTTCCTCTTGCCGCGGCCGCCGCCCTTGCCGCGCCCGCCGGCCAAAGCCTGCCGCCGCGCGTGCCGGCGAGGGAGCAGAACGGAGGGAAGAGCCCACCTGCGCTGTCAGCGAATCGTTCCCGTGCGGTCTGTCATACTCCTCACCGCAGTGTGGAGGAGGAGGAGGAGGAGAAGAGGAGGAGGAGAGGAGGGAAACCAGTGTGAAACCAAGACGCATCAGCGATGCTGCAATAAACCCGCCATCCAGGTTCTCTCTTCATAGGCCCACACAACGATATATAATTTATATATATAATATACATATACTAGAACCATCGCGCGCGCTTAGGTTCTAGCAGGCCCCAGGCCTTGACGAATTCACTGCTCCACTGAAGTAGTGGACCACAGTCCACGCATACCAAACTGCATTCCGAACGGCCTTCGAGGAAAATGGTTGTGTAGGGGGGCGGAGGCCGTATGAATCTGGTTCCAGAAGGCCTTCTGGGAGCATGGGTTTGGGGCGTCTTGGGGAGCCTATTGGGGCGTGCCGTCGTCGTCGTCGTCGTCGTGTTGCTACGACCCATTCCCGAACCTGACCTTGGGGGTGGCCTAACCTGGCGCAGCCCCGATTGGCAACAGACCCGACACGTTCCGTCCAAACTGAACGCCAGGTTCGCACTCGCCCAGCACGAAGGGACGGCAGCTGCGGTCGCCAGTTGTCTCGCGCCGAGTCCGTACGTTTTACTACGGGGACGGGCTGATTTTTGCCTCTTGAAGGCCCTCTTGGGGCCCTCTTCGGCCATCTTGAAGCTATCTCGGGCCCTCTTGGGCCTCGCTGAGGCTGTCCTGGGGCCCTCTAGGGCGTCTTGGGAACCCGGAAATCATGTTCCCGGAGAGGCTTCCGGGAACATGATTTCGATCGAGGCCCTCTTGGGCCTCCCTGAGGCCGTCTTGGGGGCCTCCTGGGCCGGCTTCGGGGCCTCTTGGGCCGTCTCGGGAGGTTCTGTGAGCCCCACAGGCCGACCCTTTTGGGCCGTCTGGGGCCCTCTTGGGTCTCTCTTGGGCTGTCTTGGGGCTCCGCGGGGGCGTCTGGGGCACTGTGAAGACGAAGCCAGCGAGTATGCTGAGAATGTACGTCTTACGGAGGAAATGTGCCGATGTTTGCCTCTTGAAGGCCCTCTCGGGGCCCTCTTCGGCCATCTTCAAGCCATCTTTGGCCCTCTGGGGCCTCGCTGAGGCTGTCTTGTGGGCCTCTTGGGCGTCCTCAGAACCCAGAAGTAATGTTCCCGGAGAGGCTTCCGGGAACATGATTTCGATCGAGGCCCTCTTGGGCCTCCCTGAGGCCGTCTTGGGGGCCTCCTGGGCCGGCTTTGGAGCCTCTCGGGCCGTCTCGGGGGGTTCGGTGAGCCCCACAGGCCGACCCTTTTGGGCCGTCTGGGACCCTCTTGGGTCTCTATTGGGCTGTCTTGGGGCTCCGCGGGGGCGTCTGGGGCACTGTGAAGACGAAGCCAGCGAGTATGCTGAAAATGTACGTCTTACGGAGGAAATGTGCCGATGTTTGCCTCTTGAAGGCCCTCTTGGGGCCCTCAGGGGCCCTCTTGGGGCTCTCTTGGGGCCTTCAAGGGAGCACCTGGGGCCTCTTCGGAAGCTTCTGGAGACTGAGGGATGGAATTTTCGGCGAGGGGGCCACGATCCTCGTGAGTGGTGCCAGAAAATGGCCCGGGGCGGCCCCCATGGAGTCGCCGCGAATCAATGTTAATGTTGCGTCCTGAAGATCCTGAGTCGTGGCAGAACAGAATCCCTGCGACTTCAACACCGCGAATCAACGTCTCTGCTGCGTCGTGAAAACCCCCAAATGCTGAAGTCGGCTGTGCGCGGCGCTAAAGCGAAAACCGCATTCTGAAAACGAGCCGTCCCCCATCAGTTAAACTCTTGCAAACATTCAAATGAATGCGCGCGGCGCTAAGGTAAGAACCACATGCTGGAAGCGGTCCGCATTCCACCTGCGAAATTGTTCTTAATGATAAACTTAAGCGTCACAAGCGAAATAGAAGTCTCAGGCGGAACGCCTGGCCCGCCCTTTCCGATTGGTATCGGGGTGCGGCAGGGAAGGAAGGCATGGCAGAGCCTGACCGACGTCTGCCAGGAAACCGAAATCCAAAAGGTTGGTCGTTGTCCTTGGGAACGGCTTTCCTCCGTCAGACCGGCACACAAAGATGCCGACTGGAAGGGGGTGCGCTGATAAGGCTGGGCCAAGCGCCCGCCTGGGCAAGTGTCGCTGATTGCGTCGAATCAGCTTCCTCTGAAAATTAAGGACTCGTCGCCTCGACGAGGCTGGAAGGTGGGGCGCTCGGGCGACGTCGAAGGATCGGACACGACACCTCTTTGCCTCTTGCTAAAAGCCGCCGACCCCAGAGGCATGTGAGGAAAAGTGCGGGCTAGCCACCAACCTTGCGCCAACCCTACGATTGTTCGCCCAAACCCGACCGATACCCCCGTCCTGGCCCCTGCATCCCCGCCCCACGGAGCTTCTGTTTCTGGGACCTCCCACCGCGCAATCACTCGCCCAAAACCAACTGATACCCCCGTCCTGGTTCCGGCATCCCCGCCCCACGGAACCTCTGCTCTTGGGGTCCCCCACCACGCAATTTCTCATCCAAAACCAATCGATACCCCCCTCCTCGCCCCGGCGTCCCCGCCCCACGGAACCTCTGTTTTTTGGGGGCCCAACCAAACAATTTCTCACCCAAAACCGACCGATGCCCCCCTCCTCGCCCCGGCATCCCCACCCCACGGAACCTCTGTACGAAACGTTGCGCTGGGTTGGCAAAAATGCCAAGTTCGGCTCCCGGAGCGCATGCGGACGGTCCCACTGGGGGTTTCGGTGGAGCTCCCTCTGGGGTCACGAACCACTGTAATGGGAGGGTGAAAGTGCCAAATTTGGTGTTCCGGGACGCACGCGGACGGTCCCACTGGGGGCTTCGGTGGAGCTCCCTATGGGGCCACGAAACGCTGTACTGGGTGGGTGAAAATACCAAGTTAGGTTTCCAGGACGCACGCGGACGGTCCCATTGGAGGTTTCGGTGGAGCTCCTCATGGGACCACGAAGCGCTGTACCGGCTTTTTGTGAAAATGCCCAGTTGGGCTCCTGGGGCGCATGCGGACGGTCCCACTGGGGGCTTCGGTGGAACTGCCTATGCGGCCACGAAGCGCTTTACTGGGTGGGTGAAACGCAGGGAGGAGGGAGGAGGGTGAGGAATGAAGGAGGGAGGAAAAACGCAGGGACGGTCTCTTCAAAACGAGGACCACACACCACAGGATGGTTGGGAAGAAAATGCGGAATAAACAAAAAGTTCGGGGCGGGGGCACAAGGAGGAGGAGGAGGAAGAATATGCATTTGGAAATCAAGGGGATGCGTGGGGAAATCCATGCGATCCCTTAGCACACCGATCGGATTCTTGAAGACATGCAAAAACTTCCGGAGAAACCACATAGACTTCCTTAGGAAGCCCATGGGACTCCTGAGGAACTCCATAGGATCCCTTCGCACTACACACGACTTCTTAAGTCCATGGGATGTCTTCGGACATCCATAGGTTCGGTATCTGTACTGCCAACGAAGGAAATCGCCATGTTGGCTTGGGGACTAAAGTGGACCCCTACTGGTGAACGATTGGGATTTGAAGTTAACATGCGTGCTCCGGATGTTTTTAAACCTAGAATGTCCACATGTTGGCCAGGAAACTGAAGTGAACCCTTGACGGTGACCCATTCGATTTGGGGAATTTAAGTTCGTTATTCAACGTTTTTTTATAAAAAACATGCACGATCTAAAGAATTATCATATGGCTGCCCGAATGATTCCTATGCATGTTCTGACGAACCATATGGCTTGCGAACGAAATCATATGCATTTCCGGGGGACACCTATAGATACCCGCAATACTCTTATAGATGTCCGACGGAATCCGATGGATGTCCTAACGGATCCTATGGATGTCCTTTGTAATCCGATGGGTGTCTTCAAGGATTTTCGTAAATTTCCAAAGGGACCCTTTGGATGTCCTGAGGCATTGGGTGAAGGCCCTAAGGCATCCTGTGGATGTGCTAAGGCATCCTATGGAATTCTAACGACTCCGATGGATTTCCTTGCGATACCCACTTTGGAAATCCATAGGAAATGCGGTCCCTTAGAACTATGGGGCTCCTTAGGAAGGACATCCATGGGAATCCTTCGGACATCCGTAAGATTCACCAGGACATCCATGGGGTCCTTGAAAAAAAAACCATACGACCCCGACGGACATGCGCAGGATTCCTGAAGAAGTCCATAGGATGTCTTAAGACATCCATAAGATTGCTTAGGCCATCCATGGGATTGTTTCGAAAACCAGAAGCTTCCGCAGGAAACGCATAATATTCTTAAGCAATTCCAGGGACTTCCTTAGGAAATCCGTAGGATTCCTTAGGCACCCGCAAGATTCCTTCGGACGTCCATCGGATTCCTCTGGACATCCATATGGATTCCGAACGGAATTCATAGGACCCCTTGTGGAAATCACCATGATTCTTTGGGACATTCTAGAGAATCCTTCGGACATCCATCGGAGCCCTTCGGACATCCATGGGATTCCTTAGGACATCCATGGGATTCCGTAAGAATTCCATCGGACTCCTCTTGGAAATTCGTATGATTTCATTCGGATATCTCTAAGAACCCGTAGGACATCAATCGAATTCCTGTGGAATCCATTGGTTTCCTGTGGACATCCATAAGTCTCCGAAATGCACAAGATTCCTCCGGAAATCCCCAAGATTCCTCAGGACATCCATCGGATCCCTTGGGAAATCCATGTGATTCCTTAGGAAGTCCGTGGGATCCTTTAGGACATCAATAGGAATCCTCAGGAAATCCATCGGATTCCTTAGGACATGGATTGGAATCCTCAGGAGATCCGTGGGAATCCTATTCAACATAAGAAGATATCACCTTCGATTCGCAATTTTCCTCCGCGATAGTTAAGTTCAACCTTGGCGCCCCTCTTCCCTGACCAAATCTGTATTGGCCGGGGATGTTAAACTCTCGCGTGTTGAGGGGGGGGACTAATGATTATCAAGGGGACCCGCTTGTCCCCCCGGGGCCCCGAAGTTCATTATCCCCATGGTGTGGTTACCAGCGGCACAGGGTTACCTGATACTCAGCCCAGCAGCGCCCTCTGCAGAGCAGCATTGGCCCTGGCCACAAACCAACACTCGGCCACGCAACCCTGCTGGGTGTGCTTTCAGGCACGGGGCGATTCCTCCCCCCTCCTACGACCCCCTAACGCCCGACGAGAGGAGGCGGAATGGCGAGGAGGACGAGAGGAGAAAACGGAGGAGGGCCCGAGTAAACCCAAGATGCATCAACGATGTTGCAATACGCACACCCATCTCAAATGCCCTCCTCACAAGCCCCTGCAGGAATTTGCATGTCACTTCGGGATGTGCACCTTTGAAAGAAGAGCGCCACGTGATCCTGCCAGGGGAGCGGCCCGTTTGGAGAGGGGGCCACCACCCATACTTCTAGCTGGCCAGAAACATGTCCAACGAGAACCCTACTCTGAACAAACATCACTCTCGACCCCTGCGCATAAATCGTACCTTAAAAAACGATCGAGCACCCGATGTTGAAAGAAACCGCCCTTGAACCGTATAGCTGCCGCACGCTTCCAGAATTAGGATCACAAGAAGCGGGGAAAGATCAAACGAAGAATATATGTGAGTTTAGCTGTTGACCCTCTCGCAAACGAACTTGCGCAACACTGAAGCGAGAGCCACATCTGAGTAGAAACCACCTTAAACTTGACCTGTCTACCGGATGGAAATGCTGAAAAAGTCGTGTGGGCAAGGGAAGATACGTTGAAAACGGAAGTGCGTTGGCACCATGCCAGCCTGATTCCTGGAAGAAACCGTCGCAACCGAATGGTGAGGGGGAACGACTGGGGGAGAACTGGCTCAGGAGGGGTACAGTGCCTTGGAATCGGCGTCGCATCGCCGATAGATCGGAGATAGACCTCCGACTTCAGAACCGCATGCTCGTGGGTGCGGTAGGGTATCAGCACCGTGTACGCGATGAGTGGGCTGTTGGGAACGACCCTTCCCCCGTGGGACTGTTCCCCCCCTGACGTTGCCGACGGGCCACAGCGGGGGAAGACGTGCTCGGCACCCCCCTGGGAGAAGCCACCGTGTGCCGACGACCCTTCTAGAGAGCTGCCACAACCGATGGGCCCCGCAGGGAGGTAAAAGCACAACAGCTCTCCCAACCCTGAGATCCGCCCCTGCGAAAAAATACGACAGATCGAAAAAGAAGGACTGGAGACCGAGACCCCAGCGTTCTGCGAAATTGTCCGAGCCAGCGGCCCCGGGCCCCAAACAGGGCGAACACGCCCGGCGCGAGAATTTGCAGCGCCCGGATCTCAGAGAATGCTATGGCTGGCCTGCGCTGCCCCTTCAATCGGCCTCCGAGCATCGGCTCGGCGGGAAAAAGACCTGGACTCCCGAAAGGAATATAAAAAACTTGGGCACGATTCCCAACAACAGATGTTGCCCAAAACAGAGAGCGGCCGCTGTTGGGCAGGCGGCCTCCTGTCTCGAATGGACAACGTCCGCGGCGGCGAGTCTTGTTCACAATGAGCAGGGACTGCTGTCGGTCTGTGCACCCGTTCTTTCCGTACCCATTTCGATCGTACCGAACAGGAGGCGCAAGGCAACAACGCCGAGTCTGCTGGAAACGGCGCGACATGCAGCTCGGGGGGCGCAGGGCCCGCAGACGCGCGGCCAAAGCCAGCGAGAAGGACTTGCATCCTCCTCCCCCCCCCCCCTCCCTCTCCCTCCTCCCTCCCTACTCCCTACCTCCTCCTTCCCCTCTTGCCCATAGAGGCAGGCCTCCTAGATGGGATCCGAATGAATGGGGTCGGAAGGTCGCGCCGTATCGCCAATGCGTCGCCGATGCATCGGTGATGCATCGGCGATGCATGATCGCCATCGGCGATGCATTGGCGCCGTCGGCGGGGAGAGAATCGGGCACCACATCGAGCCGCATCGCCGATGCATCGGCGATGCCGCGCGACCCTCCGACCCCATCCACTCCGACCCCATCTGGGAGGCCTGGATCCCCCACCCATCCCAGCTCTTTCCATCCCCTAGCCCGACCAGAGGGCCCTGGGTGCCCCTCGTCAAGCAAATGCGGCGCGAGAGGCCGGCTGGGGCCCCTATCGGCGATCCATGGGCGATTGGGGGTCGATGCACCCCCCCCTGTGCCCATCCCCCGCATCGTTGCCCCTGGAGGATCCGCTGTCAGTCTTTGTGCCCATTCTTTCCGTACCCACTTCGATCGTCCCGACCTGGGGGCCCCTCGTCGAGCAGGGGCGGAGCGAGAGGCCGACGGGGGCGGGACCTTCGCCTCCTCGCCGCCGGCTGCGGGCTCTCCGTCGCCCAACGGCGGCGCATCCTTCGCCTCGCGGGGCCGGCCCGTCTGCCCGGGTGCTGCCAGCAGCGTCCGTGTCGATGATGACGACGAATGTGACGATGACGATGATGACGTTGACTTTGATGATGACGATGATGATGACGATGACGATGCCGATGCCGATGGCGATGGCGATGACGATGACGACGACATCGTCATCTTCATCTTCATCGTCATCGTCATTGTCATCGGCGCGCCCATGGGCGGAGGCGAGCATGGCTTGGCCCGGGTTGGCACCAAATGCAGTAAGGGGGGAAGCGAGCGGGAGCAGGGCTGTTCTCCGAGGGCGGCGGGGCTTCCCAGAAGCCCTCGCGCCCCCTGAAAATGTTCCGCGTCTTCGGGGAGTTCTCGGAAGACTCCTCAGAAAGTCCGAGCCTTCCGAGAAGGCCCGCCCCCTCTGGCTCCCCCCTGCGCTCGCCGCCGACAGTGGCCCAAGCTGTGCCTCCAGCTGCGAGAGCGGGGCCCAGGCACCGCGCCATGTTTGAACTCTCTTCAAGCGCGGAGCCAAGGCGGTACGGCGCTTAGCTTTTCGTCACTCGAGAGGCGAGCAACCGCGCTCCGTACAACTCCTGGGTCGAGGATCGACGACGCCGCGGGAGACGCCGAAGCGGTACGTACGGTGCACACAAGTCGTCCACGGACCAGCCTTTCCAACCACCTCGTGGCTCCTGGAGCCCTCCAGGCCTCGTGAGGAGTGAGGGTGAAAGGGCCCAGGGATAGACACATAAATAAATACGTAGCACCCCGCAATTGCGGATAAGAGTGAGGGGGCGGGCGCGGGCGACGCGGGCGTCGTCGAGCCAGCGGACCTCGTGGCCCCCACCTTCCCTGTCGATGGCGCTCTCCTCCTCCCTCCTCCTCCTCCTCCTCCTCCTCCTCCTCCTCCTCCTCCTCGTCCTCGTCCTCGTCCTCGTCCTCATCGTCATCGCCATCCTCCTCCTCCACCTCGTCCTCCTCCTCCTCCTCTTCTTCCTCGTCCCCCCTCTCCCCCCCCCGTCCTTCCATCATCGTCCTCCCAGTGTCGTCCTCCCGTTGTCGTCCATCATCATCCTCCCCCTCCTCCCCCTCCTCCCCCTCCTCGTCCTCCTCCCCCTCCTCCCCTCCTCCCCCTCCTCGTCCTCCTGCTCCTGCTCCTCCGTCTCCTCCGTCTCCTCCTCCTCCTCCTCCTCTTTCTCCACATTCTCCTTACATCATCTCTTCTTCCGCGTCCTTCTCGTCCCCTGTTTACTCATCCTGCCTCCCCCTCCTTTCCCAAGATGACGGCAACGCAATCCTTTGTCCACTTTATGCTCCCCGACTTCTCTGATCAAGGCAACTCGCCAGGGAACAGTTGCTGGACGGGCTGGTGTGGACGCGCGGGGCTTGAAGAGGTCGTTGCGGGCTCAGACGGCGTGCGGCATTGGTTTGTTCAGTGAACGTGGTTTGGGTCGCGGGTGGGTCGCGGGCTCTCCACCTCCACCTGGACGGAATGCAAAAGCAGCCCGCCGCAGGCGCCGAAAAATTTGGTTTGTACCCTGAACGTGGTCTGGGTCGCGGGTGGGCCGCGGGTCCCCCACCGGAAACGAATGCAAAAAATGCCCGCCGCAGGCGCCGAAAAATGTGGTTTGTACCCTGAACGTGGTCGCGGGTGGGCCGCGGGCTCTCCACATGAAACGAATGCAAAAGATGTCCGCCGCAGGCGCCGAAAAATGTAGTTTGTACCCTGAACGTGGTTTGGGTCGCGGGTTGGTCGCGAGTTGGTCGCGGGCTCTCCACCTGGAAGGAATGCAAAAAAAAAACCCGCCGCAAGCGCCGAAAGTGGTGGTCTGTACCTTGAACGTGGTTTGGGTCAAAGGTGGGTCGCGGGTGGGTCGCGGGGTGGGTCGCGGGGTTGGTCGCGGGGTGGGTCGTGGGGTGGGTCGCGGGTGGGTCGTGGGGTGGGTCGCGGGTGGGTCGCGGGGTGGGTCGCGGGTTGGGTCGCGGGTGGGTCGCGGGGCTGGTTGCGGGTAGGACGACAACAAACAACAACAAACAACAAACAACAAACAACAATAAGAAGAATCCGCACCGCGGAATCCCACTTCAGACACGCACCCAGGGACAGTGAATGACCGTTCGGCCCCGTCTCTCTGACAAATCCCAGGATTCCCCAGATGTTCTATATTTGCTGGGTGTTCGTCTCCCCCTCCACTTCCCACATGTTCCACTTTTTCGTGGGAACGATCATTTGTGTCCGTGTGTTTTGCCCTCCTGAGAGGGAGGGGTCCTCCGAAGACCCCCAAGGTCTCCCAGGACATCATGCGGAGCGCCTAGGGCCAGGGGCATCTGGGGCAACATCCGGACCCTTCTCCTCCTCGTCCCTCCTCGCCCTTCTCTTCCCAACAGCTTGCAAGCATCGCTAACGAATCACTACGCCCATTTTTCGTTGCTCGACTTCGGCCTCTGGGGGCCGCTATCGGGCCCAGGGGGCCATCAGCGAACAATCCGCGGTAAAGGGACGGTCCCAGAGGAAACTGTCGAAAACTCCATGGGTCCGCGCCGTGGAACTAAATACGTCATAAGTGCTTGGGTCCGGGTCCGCATCCCCCTCCGCCCGCCCCGCACATGCCGCTTCCTCTGCCTCTGCCTCCACCTCTGCCTAGGCCCCTGCCTCTGCCTCCTGCTCCCGCTCCCACTGCTCCGGACTCTTCTATACCACATGGCTTGCCCTGGGCAACGTTTGCTTCCGCTGGCCTCCGCGGACCTCCCGCCAGCTCCCACCGAAGGCGAAGAACGTCGACCTTTCGACTCCTGGAGGGCAGGGCCTCTTCTGGAACGCCCCGACGTCCTCCTCCGCCTCCGCCTCCTCCCCCGTGTTCTTGACCAGCCTCGCACTCATACCTGTCCCTAACACTGACAAGCCAAAAAACCGTAGGCATACGCCATCAGAAACTGGTGGATCCATAAGATCGGCATTGAGAAAAGGTGATGACAATCGTACACCCCTCTGGACAAGTAGTACAACTTCTGCACGTCGTGTCGAAGAATCGTCCTGGGGACGCCCCCAGGGGTAATATTACATCATGGGCCCAATTCTGACGGCCCTAGGGCCCAGAAGCGGCCCCCAAAGGACAAACACACACACACACACGCACACACACACAAGCACACACAACACACACACACAACACACACACGTACACTTCTACAATTTACACTACTTATCAATGGCAGCGTAGGGATGGGGATGTCTTCCATAGAGGAAGAACAAAAACGGTATAAACATAAACTTCCGACGGCCCGCGGGGAATTCTTGGATCTGCGCAGGACCCCCCACCCCCTCCCGCGCCAGGGGCGGCGCTGGAGGCGCCGCCAGGGGGCTCCAGCGCATATCCAAGAAATCCGTGCGGAACTCCGAAAATGCATGTTTTGGCCAGTACTTGTCCCTCGGATAGATGCGGTCGGAGGATCGCGCCGCATTGCCGATGCATCGCCAATGCATCGGCGACATCGACGATGCAGCGGCGACGCCCTCGTGAAGAAAGTCCGGCTCCACATCGAGCTGTCTCCCCGATGCCTCGGCGACGCGACGCGATCCACCAGCACCCTCTGCTCGGAACCCCCCTGGGGAGGGCCCAGAACCACCCTCCAGGTCGCCCAGCTCCGCGCGCCGCAACCCGCGGTGCGCGACGCGCGCTCATTGGCGGCGAGCCCGGAGGGAAGCGAGCAGGGGGCGAGCCGTCTCGGAAAGCTCAGAAGGCCTCGGGTCTTCTGAGAAATTTACGAACACCTCCACGAAGACGCAGAAAACTTCTCGCAGTGCCGGAGGGGCCGGAAGGCTTCTGAGAAACCCCGCTGTTTTCTGAGAAGGCCTCCTCCATCTCAATTCCCCCTCCGTGAGGGGCATCAATAGGGGGAACTGGCATAAGGGGGGAACATCGACCTGGAGTCGGCGATACATCGCCGATAGGTCGGCGATAGCACCCCGATCGCGAATCCGCACCTTCTTGGGCAGGTTGGGGCTGTCGGGCCCCTATGGGCGACCAATGGGCGATTGGGGATCGATGCATCCCCCCCTGTGCCTCTCCCCGCTATCGTTGCCCCTGATTCTGAGAAGCCCCGCCGCCTCCTGAGAAGGCCTCCTCCCTCTCGGTTCCCCTGCCAGGCGCCCCGCCGATCTCAGCCCTCGCGCCCTCGGGAGGCCCTGCCTGAAGCGGGCAAACCACTCTGGCCGAGGCCGCGGCGATCGGAGCGCGAGCTCACCTTCGTCGGAGGCCACTCGGTCGGGGCTAAGCGGCGTGGCCCTCCTGGCGCCGCGCAGAGGGGGGTAGGGAGCGGGGGGAAGAAGGCTTCTCAGCAGGAGGCTGCTTCTTAGAAGGCGCCGGCCCTGCACCTACAGACAAGGCCCGCGCCTTTTAAGGAGCAGGGGTGCTTCTAAGAACCTTCCCCCCTCCCCCCACCCACCTCTGCTCGTGGCCGGCCATCGGCCATGCGGCCGCCCGGCGTGCCCGCGAGGGGGTCCGCCTGCCGCGGACCTCCTCGGGAGGGCCAGCCGGAGCCTCGCCCCAGGCGCAGAAAGCGCAGCAGGCGCCCCCACCGCTCGTGGACCAGGCGCCTCGTGCCCTTCTCGGGGTCGAAGAGGGTAGGACAGCAAAGGGTAGGGTAGAGAATCAGCTCACGTAGCTGGTTATCCTGGCGCCTCCTGGCACCCGGAGGCGCCCATGTATCGAGGAATGGGCCCAGCAGCAGATTTCGTAACCCTGCCTTTCCCTATCCGACCTTTTCATGCGGCCCGACCTTCTTCGCGGAGAATCCAGGCGCGCTTTTCGGTGGGCCTCCGCCCAGGACCTTCACGTGAGCGCGCCGATCGATCGGGAATACGTAAGGCTCGGGTTCGAGGGGCTCGGGTTGACCTGACGGGGCCATCGTGAAAATGACGAAAACCAGTATGACAATTGACGCGAGCTCCCATTGCAAACACCCCACGAAAACTGGACCGTCAAACTCCGGGACGCGCTCCTCAAATAGCGCCGGCAAACCCGAGCTCCGGCGCACTCGAATCTTACGCTTCCACGACTAGACGACGACGGAAACAGCACAGACCTAAACGTTCGGAGCTCCGCGCGGAATACCCCCCCTTCTCACTTCCCCTCGTGCTCGCCGCCGGCTATAAGCCTACCACGACGATGAAACCAAGGCAGCATCGGCCAGAAATGTTATATCATGTCGCGCAGACCACAAAAGGATATTTGAGCAATCTCTAGTGGGCCTATAGGCAAGCCAGGACACTTTGCCACTGCCCGAGAATAGACGACGACAGAAGCGGTACAGACCTAAACGTGCAGAGGCTCAGAGCCTGCCTGGAGCACCCCTCCCTGGCGCGCGCACCCCGGAGAGGCGCGGCCAGGGGGCCCGAACGCAGATCAAAATCACACGTCGGTCGGATAAGGTGGGTGAAGACATGAGCAGGAGGCGGCGAAAGTGTATCGGGTTCAGGCCCTCCCAGATAATAGCACAGCGCAGCAGAAGCAGATCGATTCTTGAAGCAGGAAGGCGCCGAAAATAGATTGGGACCTGGGGATCCAGACATATCTACATTCAACGAGCCACGGGTAAGCCCGCACCAAAAACTCCGAACGCCTCTGTTCAAACCGTGCTTCTGCCTTCGAGGACGTGCTCCGAGTCGGTGCCCTCTCGGACGCCACGTCGGCAATGGTGCCGTTGCCGATCTTGGCGGCACGCTCAGGGGGGTAGGGGGAGGGGGAAAGGCTTCTCCGAAGGAAGCTTCTTCTTAGAAGGCGCTGGCCCTACATCTGAAAGTCCCGCGCCTTGCAAAGAGGGCCTCCTTCTAAGACGTCTTCAGCCCTTCCCTGACCAGAGCAAACTGGTGGCGCCGAAGGGCGCCCTCGCGGAATTACTCTGAGGCCGAGAACCCCGCCGTGCAAGAAAAACAACGCACTCGAGGACCGGCGTGGGAAGCAGGCTGCGAGAGGTGAGAAGAGGCGCTCACGGTCACGGCAAAACGGCGGCATGTCGCCTTCGATCCTCAAATCCTGGCGTCGTGCACGGTTTGCACGACTGACGTTCTTGCCCCATGTTCTGGGCCTGTGGCGCTCGCGGATCTCTCCAAATTTCGAAATGACGCAAACGGGTTGGTTGGAAGTTCAGTTCCGATGCGTCACTACCAACTCCACAACATCCTCGCCCACCCCTCCCTCTCTCTTCGCATGAAACGTCCTCACATGTATGACCTTGAAACTCAGAATTCGTAGTAGTTTCACGGATGGAGGGCAGGTTGTTTTCAAAGTGTGGCTCTCGCCTTAGCGCCGCGCGCAGTCGTCTACATAAAAATGCAACAATGTCACGAATCAATGGCGGTACCTCTTCAAAATGTGGCTCTCACCTCAGCGTCGCGCACATTCGTCTCAACAAGTGCTTCCCAGATGGAGAGCGGCACCTTTTCAAAATATGGTGTTCAACTTAGCGCCGCGCACATTCGTCTCAGAAGTTTGCAACAGTTTGAAGGATTATCATGGCTGACCTCCCAGAGTTGACGTTTTGGCACGATGTAGGACTGTCGGCAGTCATGTTAATTTTCGGTGTTGAAGTCCAAAGAACGGCGTTTTGCACTAGTCAAGATCGTCGGGACGCAACAATAACGTTGACTCACGGCGTTGAAGTACCAGGAGTGGTGCTTTGGCACGGTTCTGGATTTTCAGACGGTGGTCTTCCAATGGGGTATTTCACTCAATGAAAATCAAGGGAAATGGAAGGGAGGACGTATATACTGCAACATTGTTGATGGGTCTTGAATCTTGGGCTTGCACTGGTCCTCCTCCTCCTCCTCCTCCTCCTTCTCCTCTCGTCCTATTCTCTTCGTCCATCCCTCTCCTCCTCCTTCTCCTCCCATCTCCTCCTTCCTCGCCCCCCCTCCTCACTCCCCCACTCCCCCCGTCCCTCCCGTCCCGCTTCCCTCCCCCTCGACCCTCGACGTCCTGATTTTTCATAACGTCGACCCCCAGAAGGCTCGACGCATTCCCCTGGACCGGTTTCTCCTCCCGAATCGTTTTTGACGACCCCGAGGCCCCGCAAGAGCCTCCGGAAGCTGAAAACACGGAAAGACCGTCCGTCGCAACTTGTTCATGACTCGAGGGGGTCTGGGCCCCCTCCCTCCTCCCAGCAGAACCTCGGCGTGCCCGCGGCCCAGCCCAACCACCAGCTGCTCGATGGCGTCGATGGCCGCGACGGCGGCAGCGCTGTTGCCCCTGCCGCCTCGCCGCAGCGGGGGGGCCCGGCGGGGCTCGCGCCGAGCGGCACCGCAGCCGACGGCCACGAGCGGCGCGGCGCCACGCGGCACGACGAGGCGCCGCGAACGCCACGAGGAGGCCGAGCGGGCACGAGGCCGAGCGGCACACGAGGAGGCCAAGCGGCACGCAGAAGCCGAGCGTGGCGCAGCGGCCCGAGGCGCCGCTCCGGGAGAGGCTGGGCCGTGCAGCTTCGGGTCGGAAACCCCGAGAAGAGGCACGGCCTGAGGGAGGCGCTGTCCGGGCCCGGAGGCAGCCGAGCAGGCAGCTGGCCGTGCCCCGCAGAAGCTGCCCCGCCCTGGGCTGTGCTCGGGGCCTGGCCCGGCCCGTGTTTGCGTCCCGTTTGTCCGCTGGCCGCCCGCCCTGCGCGCTCGTCATCGTCTGCCTGCTCCACTCCCGCTCCGCTCTTCTCCCCCCCCCCACCGGGCATCACAGCCCGCCAGAGGCCAGGCGTGGACGACTGGAGCGCTTGCAGAGGACAAGAGCCATCGTGCCCCCAAGACGCTCGGCTTCGACGGGGCTGGGTGGTGTCCCTCATCTGGATCGCCCCCTTCCCTGGGTTCGGGCTCCAGGAGGCCCGTGTCGGTTGACGATGATGGGTTTTGCAGAAGTCTCCTCGTCGCAGGTCGACGATCTGCTGATAGCCGCCGACCCTGAATGTGGGGCGTATGGAGGCCTCCCAACTGGGGTCCGAGTAAGTGGGAGGATCGCGTCGCATCGTCGGTGCATCGCCGATGCCAGGAACTTTTCTGGGGAAGCTGATTGGGCTGGATGTGGATTCGGATTCGGTCTGCCTGCCAGCTCCCACGGGAGCGCTCCCCTGCACCGAAACATCTCACGACCCACTTCCCTCGGGACCTCCCCCACTTCTTGGTGCCCAGCGGAGCAGGCGCTCTAGGGGGGGGAACTACCCGTCGGATGCTGTGAGAAGCGGCCTTGGCCCAAGGCGACCACGGCTTTTCCAGAAAGCCCCAACTTGCCTCCAGAGCACCTGCAGAGCACACTGTGGGGGCCCCAGTGGATGCACTTTCGGGCCAGGACCACCGCAAGCAAGCTCCGGCCTCCGTTCCCCGCCGCCGCACAGACATCCGACATCCAGCTTCGCGATTTGCTTCACAGCGCGGCTCCCCAAAGTCTGGGTGAGGGGCATCGATAGGGAGCACTGGCATGGGAGGGGGGGAACATCAACCTGGAATCGACGATACATCGACGATAGGCCCCCGATAGCGAATCCGCACGATCCTGGGCGGGGCGGGGCTATCAGACCCGTATCGGCGATCAATGGGCGATTGGGGGTCGATGCATCCCCCCCTATGCCTATCCCCCTTATCGTTGCCCCTGACTGGGCAGTGTGCATTAAAAAATATGAGGGTGTAAACAAACGCGAGGGTATAAAACCCGAGGGTATTAAACATGTTGTTTAGACCCTCTGGGTGTTTCCCCAATTAGGCTTGCCTGAGGGGTTCTTACTTGGGTAAAGGTTGGTGCCTCGGGGCCTGACTTTGCCTGGTCCATGGAGATCCTTGGGTTCCCTGGGTTTCCCGGGTTCCCCTGATACCCAGCCCCCAGCGTCTCTGCCTACTAATGTTACGTTGCCCCTTGCTCGGAGGTTCCCTGGGTTCCCTGGGCGCCAACCAATGCCAAGCATTGCGCCCATGCAACAAGAAGCTTTCCCCTAATTGGGGTCGCGCTGGCATCATTCGATCTCCCCAAGACCGGCTTGCCATCCCGGACCGTTTCTGTTGGCGGCCCTGGCGGCCCAGCGAGGGCCCCCAGTGAAGGCCGCGCAATGCCAGAAGCCTCCTCCGTGCTGCCGCCCACGGCGCGAGGACGTCGGGTTGCCGGCAGCCGCCGCCGTCCGAACGACACCAGCAAAAACGCGGCCGCCGCCGCCGCCGGCGTCGCCCCGAGGGCCCACCCTGACCCGCCCTTCGGGCAGCGCGCGCCGTGGCCGCGAGGGCGCCGCCGCCGCCGCCGTGGCCGCCGCGGCCGCCCAAGCAGCAGAACCAGAGCCAGAAAGAACAAACTGCAGAAGCAGAAAACTTTTGGAGTTCCGCACGGATTTCCTGCATCGGCCCTGGGCCCACCCTGGCGGCGCCCCGTGCGCGCCAGGGGGATGGGCCCAGCACCGGTCCAGGAAATCAGTGCGGAACTCCCACAAGAACCCCACAGGGTCATCGTTACCACTGAAACTAAAATACAGAATATCGTCAGCACCGCAACATATATATAATTGTTGCCCCCCACATATATATAATTGTTGCCCCCCGTCGACCGCAAGTACTGCCGCGCAGAAGTGTAAGCCATGATGTGCGATGTTTTCCGCCGTCAAACGAAGACACAATCGAAATCCAGTAACGACGGGTGTTAAGGACGCAAGGGTGCTCTCGCACGTTTCGTAGCCCCATCGGGAAGTCTCGTGAAGGCCCATGTGGCTCCGTTAGCATGGCGCCGCTGCGCCAGAGCGCGGTTCTTACTAGACCATGTGACACGATGGCTCCAGGTGGCAATGGGCACCAGAGGAATGCTAAGCAACGGTCTAGTGCCAGGGCGCCAGGCTAACGCTCCAAAGTGCTGAGTGCGGTATCGTGTCGTGATTTTTAGTGACATCTCCTTTGGTCAGGCTGATATAACAGTGTACAAACTACTGAACAACGAAAGTAATGAATGACGCGAATGATCACTCAGGACACTGATTCAATACAACCTTTGTTGCACCAACATGCGTTGGAATAGTCGCACACTTCTGGCCGACGGCCGTTGCCAGCTGTGCCTCCACGTCAGCGGCAACGACTTCCGAATGAAAAGCCGAATGCGCAATTTCGATGAAAACTCTTTTGTGCCCCCTTCATTTCCGGCGCCCATGCATCCCCATCATACGTAACAACCACCACTGCTGCAGCATCCTACGCACCAGCGTAACCACCATCAGAGGAACAACTGTACGGCTGCTCCCATGAAAAGCGATGGCGGCTAGAGCGTCCAAATCCGCATAGATGTTGTCTGCCCTTGGCCTAACACCCAATTGCACACCCTATCCGCCAAAACGCTATATTCTCGCGGTCGCCAATCGCAGCAAGCAAGAAGACCACCCATGTGGTCAAAAAACAGAGAAGACATGTTGAACCAATTTTCACTCATCCTGCCGGTGTCCTGTTCGTAGCGCGGGCGTGTGACGCGGACCGCCACGTTCACAAATTGAGCAAAGATCTGAATGTCCACCACAAACTCAACTTGCTGTTTCGCCGGCCTGTGTGACCACAGTCGGTCCCGCTCAAAACATCTATCTAATCTTGGGCAGCGCCTGGTGGTCGTCAGATTCGATGTGCTTGTCGCGAGGCGCAGCTGCGTGCTCGCAGGCAACGGCGTACCCAGGGTGAGGTTTGGAAAGGCGAAGCCTGTCGCATGCACTCAACACAACACATGTCATATAGGCACGCCACTCCGACTCGTCACGACAAAAATCAAGACGAACACGCCAATGCACATCCCACATACGCGCAGACAAGTACGGAAATTGTAGCTGCGGGCCGCTCTTGTTATGCAGTAGCTACTCTCCTTTCCCTCTGTTAAGTGGGCCACGTTCCCGGCGAATGGAAGAAAACTGCTTGGCGACTGCGCGTTCGTGCCAAGCGTGCCGAACAATCTTTCGACGATTATGATATGCAGTGTTCCCCAATCAGTGCTTGCACTGCAGGGGTCCCAGCGGATATTGAAAGATTTGGCGAAAATTCTGGGCCGATTTCGGTGGGCGGCCGGGTTCCCGGATCTGGGCTCCCCGGTTCCGGGTTTCTGGTTCTGGTTCGGTCGGCGGCGGGGTTCGGTGGGCGGCGGGGTTCCTGGGATTCCAACTTGTGAGTCCCAGGTTCCCAGGTTCCCGGTCGATCTCGCAACCGATGTCATTATCGATCTCACCATCCATCTCATTCAGTCGACCTCATTATCGATCGCTCTACCGACCTAACTTTCGGTATCACCATCGTTCCCACTATCGATAGCACTGTCAATCGCACTTTTCATAGATCCATCGATCTCACAATCGCTCTCACGATCGATCTCACGAACGACCGCACGGTCGACCTCACGATCGCTCTCAATATCGGTCACACGATCGATGTCATCATATCACCATCGATCTCAGTATCGATATTACAATTGATCTCCAAGTTGGCCTCACGATCGGTACCACTCAATCGAAACCACTATCGAACACACAAATGATCTCTCGATCGATTTCACGATCGATCCCACGCAATGGATCTCACGATCCACCTCACGATCGATCTCACTATCGATCCTGGTACCGATCTCACAATCGATCTGATTCAACCGACCTCACTACCAATCTCACGGTCGATCTCAATTTCGATATCACTCAATGGATCACAATACCGAAATCATGATCGATCTCACTACCGCTAGCATGGCAATGCGTCGCATATAACATAGCACGGGGCACCCGCGCGCCACGGGACACCACGGGACACCACGGGACACCATCGGGACACGTTCGGGGCACCAGCGGGACACCACAAGGCCACTGCTGGCAAACACGGGGGACAGCAACGTTTGGATCGGCTTCGCCCTGGCAACGGATAGTCCAATCCTCTCGCCCGCCCACGCACCTTCGCCTCGCCCGCATGCGGTGCACGAACGTGCATCCGACACCAATATACCCGTGGGGGGTCCCCGTTTCAGCGCGATGTCACCCCCCAACCTCCAAGGTGCATAGAGAAAGGGAGAAAGAAAGAGAGAGAGAGAGAACAAAAATAATATTGATGCATAACCAAGCAACGATGGTTGATAACAAGTGAGGGAGGCGGAGTCGAGAGAGAGAGAGGGAGCGAGAGAACAAGACTGAGATGATGTGCGTACAGGTACGTAGAAATGTGTATGTGTGGGTGCGTATTTACATACATGCACTGAAATAAATAGGGGGTAGTGCATATCTATATATACATATATACA